TATCTTTTCAATGGTTCTTGAATAGACTCAATCTGATATTCAAAATTAAAATATGTTCATTTTAGTAAAGGCAACATATGCGTAAAATCTTATACGAAATTAATACATGATTTTGTAAATATTACGAATTTTTAATATTTTATTGATTATTTGTAATATAATTTAATACAGGATGATACATTATCTTTTAGGATTAAATTTATTATTTTATTAGGAATTAAGATAGAACTAAAAACAATTATATTTAGTTTATTGATATTAGGATATCTTTTATTTATTATTTTATTACATAGTTATGTTACAACAAGGATTCCTCCTCACGTATACAAATGAGGCTCCTCCTAACACATCTTTTCTTTGAATAATATTACATGAGCACGATTTTGCATGAGTTGATTGCCTTGTGTCTTCAAAGCTTCTTTTCCTTTGTGTTCTTTTCATTTTCTTGTGAGAGAGATCTTCACACTCCAATTTGCCTGTTCATTGTGATTAGGTGGGTTGTTTAGAGTCGTATTATTGAGATTGCCTTTTTATTGCGACTAGGAGGGTTCGATAGGACATTTATCCGACTATTTCCATCATATCATCATCAGCAGCATCAAGTTCACGCCACCTTCACCATATCCATAAGCTTATACATACCAAGGGAAATTTCCAATTTAGTTTCTTTTTTCCGTTTATTATTTTTCAATTCTGTTTTCATATTCCTAATCCTTATATTTTCACCTAACTAACACCTATCTTCTTGTTTCATTCCGTGTAAGGATTAATTTTGCTGAAAACCCTAATTTGACTAAGTTATCTTATCATATCTCTTCCATTATCTTTACTTGTATTTATTCTTTTAATGTTCTTTCCCCTTATTAATCTTTCTCTCAATTTCCAGCACACCATATTGTCGCCACCCACATCTCCCGCTCATCCTCTCATTCTTTGATCGAGTCTAGAGATTTCTAGGTTTAATTCTTCAACGATGAGCAACATTCATCATCTGTTGACACTTCTCTATCATTGGACCAAAAACCTGCTCTCCTTCGGACCTAGAGAAATCTTCCTAAAATCAGTAGCTCAAGCTCTCCCCACATATGCTATGTCTTGCTATCTCCTTCCGAAGGGCATTATCAATGATATCACAAGACAGATCAGAACCTACTAGTGGTCGCGAAGACATGAAAGAAGAGGATGGGCAATGGTTGCCTCGGAAAAAGTTTACAGATCTAAATGACTAGGAGGATTAGGATTTAGGGACCTGAATTTGGACAATCTGACTCTTCTTGGAAACCAAATTTGGAGATTTCTTCATTAGAACTCGCTAGTCTTTCAGGTGTTCAAAGCAAAATATTTTCCTAACTCATATTTCTTTAAGGCAAGAATCAGAGATAAAAGCATCATATGTGTGGACAAGTTTATTCAAGTCAAAAGAGGTGTTGAAAAATGGATTCTTCTAGAGAACCAGCATAGAAAGAAAATGAAAATGTTCTTGGATAATTGGGGGGACTCCTCACCCATCTCATATCATGTACTTACAGAGATAACATCAAATCCCTTACAAATGAATTGATTTCATGATCCCTGATTCCACAAAATGGGATATCAACAAGGTGACTTAACTTCTCCACCCGGATGATGCCAACAAAGTTATCTCAACACTCATCACACCAACCCAATTAGAGGACAAATGATTTAGAGCCACCATAATACCAGATGCTATTATGCTAAATCGGGATATAATTGGCTTTTGCTGAAGAAGAATATTCCAGTGTAACAAAGGAAAAATATGGAAATTATTTTCAAACTTCCTATCTTATCAAAAATCCAAATTTTTGGATGGAGAGTTTTCCATTATGCACTTCCAGCAGGGGGTAAGTTGAAACAAGCGAAACTTTCTGAAGGAGTCTATCTTGTGTGTAGTGAGGAGACCGAGAATCTAATGCATGCTCTTAAGGATTGTATCAAAAGAAAGAGAGTTTTGCAAATTTCTGAGCTTGATGAGGTGATTATCAATTGGCAAGGAAGCTCATGCAAAGACTAGCTCAAATGGGTCTATGATAAAGAAATGCAAGAAGACAAGGATGTCGTAATGGCATCATGAAGTTTGTGTGAAGAACTAACAGCGGCAAACATTGATGGAAGACCCTCCCCCTCTCTCCAAATTCCCCACAGATGTCTCACTTGGAAAAAGCCAAACAAGAATACGATTAAAATTAGGGCTTGTAAGCCTATGGAAAATATCGCAGCTATTGGTATAGTGGCTAGAGATCATAATGGAATGGTTCTGGGAGGTATGTGTAGACCAATTAACCACCCATTCATAGCGAAGTCGGCTAAGGTAGAAGCGTTAACCCAAGGGATCAAACTTGCTGATGAAAACAGATGGAAAAATGCAATCATCGAAGAGGATGCGATAAACATCGTGAACATGTTTGTCAATCATAAAGAGGATGCTTTAACCATCGGATTGCTGCTCAATGAACCCATATCATTGCTGATCAACGAAGCCATATCATTGCTGAATGCCAATTTTTTTTGGATTTGCCAAAATGACCAACAAAATCGTAACGCGAACTCTAATTTTTCAACTCAGTTTCCAAATTCGCAACGCGAATATCCAGATTCGCAATGCGATTGTAAGATTAGCAACGCGATTTTGAAAAATGTGTTGCGATAGTTAAAATGTATTGCGATAGTTAAAATGTGTTGCGAGAGTTTGAAAAACATGTTGTTGCGATAGTGAAAATGTGTTGCGATAGTGAAAAATCAAAAATAAGTTTACATTTTAACTATTCCAAATTCACGTGGAGTTTGAAACAATAAAGAATGTGTTGCGATAGTGTAAAAGATTCCCAAGCCATTTGTAAGATCTTAGTTTGAAACAATAAAGAATGTGTTGCGATAGTGTAAAAGATTCCCAAGTGTTTGCAATGCACAATTCCACATAGTATTGGAAATACTATTGGGAATGGGTATTTAAGGCTTGGATTTCCCACTTCCTTGTTTAGTGGAAGAGAACAAGGGGGACTCTCGCGCACCGCCGCCGCCGCCGTCCCGTCTCGGGTCAGGGTCGGGGTCGTGATCGTGGTCGTGTTAATACGTGTCTTCGACACGTCCGCGCGGATACTATCTTTTTAGAGAAAATTCTTAAGAAATCGCAACGTGAACTTGGACTATCGCAACAAATTAAAATCGCGTTGCGATAGTCAGAATCGCGTTGCGATTTTGTATTATCACGTTGTGATAGTCAGAATAGCGCTTCGATTATGTATTATCGCGTTGCGATAGTCAAAATCGCGTTGCGATTATGTATTATTGCGTTGCGATAGTCAGAATCGCGTTGCAATTTTGTATTATCACGTTGCGATAGTCAGAATCGTGTTGCGATTTTCCAAATTCACGTTGCGATTTGCGAATCTGGAAACTGATTTGCGATACTGGAGATCGCGTTGCGATTTTCTAAAATCGCAATGCGATAGTCAAAATCACGTTGCGAATCTGGAGGTCATTTGACAAATCGAAAAAAAGTTGGTCAAAATCGTATATTATAAGGTATTTTCGGTCACTGAGATTATTTTCTCTATAAATAATCACGAGGAAATTTGAACCTAGGTCAAATAAATAACTCGGAAGTACCAAACCACATAAACAAATATTATCAAATTAAAAAGATTTCATATATCTAATAAAAAACTTGCATATTACAAATTAAATATATAAATAGGGACGAAGTTTAGATTCCAATTCAAAAGGATAAATAATTAATCATAAAATAAGAGGATCAAGTATAATTAATTAAAATTTAGAGTCTTAATTTAATATTTATTCATATATATTTTAATAATAAAAAATATAGGATACTAGCCCGGGACGAAGCATATATATATATATATATTGGAATTACAAAGAGAAGAGAGTTTAAGCAGAGTTAGGCTCGCAAGGCAAAGGACCAAAACAGTCTATATCACCAGCAGCTGAATCACATCTGGAGGGTCGTGGAAGATCGTCATGTCTTGTGATGGCGGTATGGAAAGCTTTGCAATGGCATCGGCAATGTAATTCTCAACACGTGGAATGCAACGAATGTCTGTCATCCATCCTTTTGACCGAATTCTGGCAATTGCCCGAACTAGGTTTGAGGAGGAGGAAGCAGCATTTCTGCGTTGATCATACAAACAACTTGCTTGGAGTCTGATTGAACCTGGGACCAAGCAATGTAATCCAGAATAAATAGCCCATAAATCAGCATGTAAGGTGTCAAGAATTCCAATGATTTTATTAAAAGCCAACAATCCAACAACTATTGTTGTCTCGGATTAAACCCCAATGGAACCGAGACCAGACGTTCGGGAAACAGCTCTATCAACATTAAGACAACCATCCCGGGGGGACGTTTCCAGGAGTACGATTCAGATGGAATTGGAGGTGCCTTGATGGGAGAATCCGAATGATCATTATAGCATCTGGCCCAATTAAGATTAGCTCGAAACAGCGTGGCATTAGGAGTCTAATAATTATAAAAACCAAATCACTTCTACGCTTCCATATCTGCCAAATAATAGCTGGAAAAAAGAATCTTCCAAGGCAAGTTCAGTGTAGGATGCGTGGCATTTGAAGCAAGATTCATCGATAGCCAATTTTTGATGTCCAAATCAAGCGGACGACAATAATAATTCACGTGTAGATGTTACTGATTACCATTAGTCATTTAATTAAAAATATTTATTAAAATCAATATTCGGATTTACCGCTTTATATTACCAACATTAGGAACATATTTTTATTCTGAAAATGACTATCCCATTCAAAGATTTCAACATTTATTCGGATGCCATATTCTTTCAAATCCCTTTCATTATATCGATTAAATAAATTCCATCTTAGCTTGAAAGAAAAGTCTTCTCTTTAAACATCATGCATGCAGAACATCAATCATTCCACTATTTCACATAGAATTTCCCACATCCATGCAGCCCATTTTTCCCTTATAAAAACCTTCACTATCTTAGCCTCGCATTTATTGCCTTTGCCTAGTCAGTTTTACGACCATGTCCATTATCCCGAGAATTCATCACACGCACTGTTCATCATGACCCTTACAACCAGCGTCCGGCAGTTTGGGATCCGTTCCAAGAATTCCGGTACGGAGAAGCAACCTAGTTACAACGACTGTTCCGCCTGTTTTCCCGGCCGAATCACGGTTCGAGCTGACAAAGCTGGACTGGAAGAAACCCCGGAAGCTCACGTGTTCGTAGCTGAACTTCCGGAGCTTAAGAGGAACGAAGTGAAGGTGGAAGTGGAGGAGGGGCGAGTGCTCAGCATCCGCGGCGAGAAGCGCGGAAAAGAAGTGAGCGGCGACATGTGGCAGCGCGTGGAACGTAGAAGCGGGTCGTTCGTGAGGAGTTTCAAGTTGCCGGAGAGCGCGAAGGATAAGCTGACGGCGTGTCTGGAGAACGGAGTGCTGACCATCACAGTTCCTAAGAAAGAGGCCAAACACTACCCTAAAAGAAGCATTGAGATCCATGGCAGAGAGTGATCCCTTTCATGAGAGAAAATCTTGATGATCTTATATAAATAAATAAAGAACTTTCATATGAATGCTTTGGTGTGCTCCTCTTAATGTCTGGTTTTAGTTCCTAAGGATGTACTTTTCATATTAGAATAATGCATCAAACGGTTTGAGATGTTGTGATTATGTATGAGCATTGTGCTACTCTTAATTTGGTTTTAAAAAAATTGATTTAAAATTTATTAGACTTTGTCTATACTGAATTAATGCTCATTAATATTATTACCAATCTCAAATTTATTTTTGAAAAGCAAATCATATAATAAGTCTAATTTATAAGATAGATACCCAAAACATTTTTTTAACCAGAATAGCGTCTAAACAATATTTTTTTTATTAAAATGATACACTATAGATAAAGGTGTATTTTGTAGGACGCATCTTTACTTACATGGTAGATCTTTCCAATAGTTTTTGTACACTGATATCATCTAGGAAGAAAATGAAAGAAATGGAGAATAATGAGCAAAAAATTATTTGCATGAGCTCGAGTCAGGCAACGACATATATATAAATCTTATTTTCAATCACTCAACGAGTACATATTCAAAAGAATATATTTAAATACTTTAAAAATTCACATATATAAATAATATGAGATTTAAGGATATCATGACAAAAACCTATTGATTTCAAGTCGTCAAAGTTAAATCTTAAAATCTAACCAAACAAATCTTAAAACTTGATTAGACTTGTTGTCTTATGAAATACTCAGAATTCTAATATCAAAAATTGTCTGACTATCATACTAATTTAAGTTTAGTCATATTTTAAGAACTATATTTGAAAGTTATCAACAAATTTTAGCGAGTCCACACTATTTATATATGTATATATTTTAAAAAAATATCTTTTAAATATATATTGAGTGATTGAAAATAAAATTTCTATATGCGGATTTATTAGCAAGTACCCCATTGTTTGTTGTGCAGGATATTGGAAATCACTCTATGGCGGATTTATTAAAAGAGATGATTTCTTTACGTACACCAGAAAACGGTATAAAAAAGCGAGTATTGCAAGTGCCAGCTCCAGGGGGATTGCTTGGAAACCAGTTTTGCAGGATTCTAAAGTGAAAATATTAAACAAAAAGAAGAAGAACGATTCTATATTTCCTTCCATTGAAAACCCTCTTTATATTCTTGGGGGGGGGGGGGGAAGCCAGACAAAACAGAGGAAGAAGAAACAAAATGAACATGGGGAGCATGTGTCAAACGTCGTCGTCTCACAACACGACCGCACTCCACACGCATCCACAATCAGCCACGCACACGAGCTCCTATTGGGGCCACGAATCCCAAATCCTCTTCTCGGGTTGGCCCGGTTCCAGCAGCGGCATGTATGCACTCGCTTTGTTCTTCGTATTTGGCTTGGCCATGATGGTTGAATGCCTCTCGTATCGCACCATCGTTAAGCCTGAGGCCAACAAGGTGGCCGCTTGGTTCTTTAAGACGGCCATGCATACCATTCGTGCCGGCCTGAGCTACGTCGTAATGCTGGCTGTCATGTCGTTTAACGGCGGCGTCTTCCTCGCTGCTGTTATCGGACATTCTGTCGGCTTCTTGGTTTTTGGGAGTAAGGTGTAAGGATTTGGAAAGCAGGGATGGACTGAGAAACTGCCCGACCTTAGTCCTGGGAAATAGTATATGTAGAGCTTGAGGGGTTAAGGTTGTAATAAGTGAAGTTTCATGATCTTGATCTGTAATAATTCCGTGTAAAGATTCGATGTGGGAATCGTTAAATTTGTTCAATTCATTTTCAATATCTAAAGAAAATCTATTTGAATTTCAAGCTATTTCACTAATCAAACTTAACAACAATTCTCACACTAACAATATTTAACTAAGCTGCTCATTCATTAGCTCCGCTCATCATTAAAATATCAACATAGCTTTATTCTAGACAGGGCAATATTCAATAATAAAATCAATATTTTTTCTTTAAAAATTCTGATTTTGAATAATTATGTATATAGAATGCATTGTCAATTAATTAATAAAATTATGAACATACTCAGACTATTCAAAAGAATTACAAATTAATAAAATTCATTAAATGATCTTAGTAGTAAAAGAGATTGTTATTCTCCCTAAAGTTTCGAGTTCAATCATCTAAGTCTACATAGTGGGTACGACTAAAAAAGATTTTAAACATATATTATCTTGTAATCTTCTCAAATTATTAAAAAATTGACAATCAAAATTAATTGATAAAATTAAAAGATTGATAACAATTAAGTAAATAATTGATCTAATTAACAAAATTAAGAGTTTGATAATCAAAATAGAATCCGTCCATAATTAAGTGGTCATTCATGTAGTATATCATTTTGCCATAAAAATCTTCTCATCTTCAATATTTAATCCCAAATCATCAATTTACAATCATCTAACGGTCTTAAAGCAAAGGATAACTTCAATCATTAATTTATATTCATCCGATAATCTTAAATTATTGTAAAACGTTTTTATTATTATCATAAATCATACCTCATATCAATGTAAAAACTTTTCAATTTTACATTATATAATAGATCCTACTCCTAATAAGTTATTATTATATTTTATTTTAAATGCACTGTTACCCCATTAAAGTATGTCATTTGTATCTCATTTGTCCCATATCGTTAATTCTATTAAAAATATCAAGGGTAAATTATATTTTTAATCATTCAATTATTTTTAAGATTCTACTTTAATCACTCAATTATTATTATTTATTCAAAATCATCACTAAAATAATAAACTTGCCGTTTTGAAATGCACCATGTTATGCTTGCAGTAGCGTTTAACCATGCACACATAATTTTTTTGTTCAGTCATTGAGGGATGTTCAAAGAAGGCGTCAGCTTTACTTTTTTCATTAGCACTTCAATTCATTACAAAAATGAGTTTCATAGAAAGTTACAGAAACGAGTTCCGCATTGTCATTCACCAACTCAGCTTTATTATTTTTTCTAGATCCTTTATAAAGAAGAAAGATTGGATATTTGACTCCTTTTCAATGAACTCATTTCTCTGAATGCTTTCTATGCTTAATTTTCATTGTATATATAGATATATGTTTGGAATCTCTTTTTGGTGTCTTTTGGCAATTCATCTTTGGTTGGTTTTGATGTACAGGGCTGCAAAACAACTCATTAGAATCGAGTAAGACCAAACAAAGTTCACACCTTCAAACACAAGATTTCAGTGAGACAGCTCGAGTATACGCAGAAGGTTCTGCACCAATGAGATCACTTCAACTTCTCCCATTAATGTTGCCTGTCTATCCACTCCAGTGATGGAGGAAGATGAGGCGATACATGGTGACTTTTTCCTTCGTGCAAAGTCATACTTCGATTGTCAAGAATAAAGGCATCTTCTTAGCAAATTTTTGGAGACTGGCATATATACTCGATGGTTTGGAAACGACGTCGTTTCTTTCATGTTCTTGATCATCTTCTTCTTCAATCCATGGCTATCCTCTGAACTACAGGGACCTTCTTAAAGGTATCCTTTTCAGCTTCTGAAAGGACTTTCCGATCGGTTTCTTGGTCGAGCACAAGATGGGGGTTATTAGCACTGCATGGAGGGAGGGAGAGGAAAAGACGAGTTTTGAGGGGTGGCAGTGATTTGAATGAGGGTTTTTTTTGGGGTTTTGAAGAGTGAAAAGGAGAGGAGAGTTGGGTTTTGGAGAAGAAGATGAAGGGGAGAAGAGTTGCATGCTTTTTTAAGGTTTCCTTTACTTGTATTTGGTTTAGTTTGATAAAATTGTGTAGTTTTTCATGGAGAATGTTGGACGGCTAATGGAGAATATTACTAATGATCATTTTTCCCATTCTACATTTTCAGTGATGATTTTAAAAAATATTATAGTTGAGTAACTAAAAAAAATAGTTTGGTGACTAAATAGAATTGTAAAAAAGTTCTAGTGACTTAATATATAATTTACCCTTGATGCTTTTAATTGAGTTAACAACTTGAGGCAAACAAGGTAACAATTAAAACTTTAGGAGGCAAAACGCTCCGAAAAATACTTTAGAATACAACTCGGTACAAATGACAGTTTAGGGGGCAGCGGTGTATTTAAGCCTTATATTTTTCATAAAGTCATTTGATGAATCGTCTTATTATTTCTTTCAAAATGATCTAGGATGATTATAAAGAAATATATATTCAATTTTTTTTAACTATCGATAATATATATATATTGTGCATATGTACTGTCCAAATTTGATTTCCTTAAAATATTATATGTTTGATGGGGTTAGTGCGGTTGTGATGATCATTGGGTATGGGCTTGGTGTTAATGCTACAAAGACCAAATATTGATTTTGGTTCAGTTTTGTTTATAATCAATTTTTTCTTGGTCCAGAACTGTTTACAATCAATAAGAAATCCTTCCATTGCAGCCTTGTCCCCCAAGTATAATGAAAACAAACTGGAATTTGTTGTGAAGAACTGACACTATTAATCACATAAATCGAGTGGACATACATTTACACGTAAATTATTTCATATCCCCAGATCATGTTTCTCTTCAACGTTTAAAAAGGGTCCAGCTTTGGATAAAATCTCCCCAGCAACTTGTAACAATAAATGGCCCTTCACACTAGTGTTTCCTCCCCATTGTTCCTACTGATATTGGCGGTCATCATCCATCCCTCGTATGGAGCTGCTAATCATTTGAACGACGAATCCCCAGTGGAAGCGGTTTGCCGACACACATCGAGCCATGAATATTGTGTCGGTAACATGGTTCCCGGGGCGCCGTTGACGGCCGAAGGGATTGCTAGTACCGCTCTAGGGTGGGCACAGATAAGAGCATTGGAAGTTGGAACTATAATATCTAGTTTACTCAAAGATTCTGCCTCGGGAGTCCATACTAATCATCGCTACCAACTGCGGCTCCAAAAATGTTGGGATCTTAACATGAAAGCCATGGCGGACCTTTGGAGTGCTAATGGCTCGTTTTACAGTAAAAACATCAAGGCCATGGTTAAGTACCTATATGGTGCTGCACATGACACTAAAAGGTGCCAAGTTCTAATAAATGGACACAATTTAACAGTCTTAGCTGCTAAGAACTCTGACATAATTAAGCTCAGTGAAATCTGTATCGTCTCCACCAAATTCTTCTGAGCATATTCGTTAAAGCTCAAGTATAAATTGTGTGTGTATTTAATAGATGAATAAAGGAATCCTACGTAGTATTGCACACAAATATTTTTTAATGGAATCCCTTGTAATATTTACATTCTTTCCTTTGAAACTAAATTAATCATCTCTGCAGCCATTTGTAATAAGTTTAGGGATACACACGACACAACTTTATGTCAGGGAACTAACTTTTAAAATTTATAAGAAATAAATTATATAATTTTAAGAGACAAAAATAAATTATCAAAAAATATAAAAATATGATAATTTAAACTTTAAGTAGAGATGATAATTAATTATTATATTAATATTATAAAAATTAATGATAAATTTTGTAAGTTAAATAAAGCCATTGATATGATCCTAAAGTTGGGAGACAATAGACCCTCTAAGACGTTATAAAATAAGATACGCGCATAATGGATACATCTATAAGCATATGACGGATGTATGTTGCTCTCAAATAGAGCGATTGCATACTCATTTAGGTAAATTATTAAACTCAGTTTAATATATTAAGGAGAATAAAAAAGTAAAGAAAATTATATAATTATTTTTTAAAAAACAAATAGAAAATTTAAAATCCTATTTTTTAATATCTATAAATGTCAAAATAGTTAAAAAAAATAAGATTTACAAAATTATATATTTTTTATCTATATATTTAGATCAAAATTTTATAGAATATTTTCAAAAAAGGGTAAATTACACGTTTGCTAACTGAACTTTACTCTTTCTCCTATTTACTCATCGCACTTTCAATTTTTTCAATTCATTCACAGAACTTTATAGATTGAATTTTTTTGTCATTCCGCTGTTAAATAACTAACGACGTTATGAAATGACCGTATTTTAATCAAAATGACATCGTTTTAGTGTAACATTTTTTTTAGAAATTCAAGACGACGTCGTTTTTATGTAATTTATCATGTCATAACGTCATCTAATTATCTAACGTCTGAGTGACAATTCCATTAAGGTTTAACATCTTTGTTGGTATAATATTATTTCGACAGCTCCTAAATAAGAGTTTTGGGTGGTGGTTGGTTGAGCAAACCGTTGAAATTTTCAGAACTAGATAGGGTGGTCCTGCCTCGCCCCTCTTCCCATGCATATAATTTCTCTTAAGATGGGTATTATTATTAAATTGCATAAAATATTTTTCAACTATAGTTTACTAAATTATATAGTTAGAAATAACTCGATATATTGGAAGGAAGCAAGTTACGGTCAAAATGAATTTACTATCGTTGCCATCAGTCCATAGTAGCAGCGGTTGTCGGCGATGGTGCCCAAGTCACTAAAACCAATCGTAACTCAATACATACATAATACATTGTTCATAAGGTATATAGGGTTCAACGGCGTTATTAGTTAAAAAACCCTAAAAATTATTTTTCTAAAACAATATCCCAAACAAGATTTCTTAGAAAAATACCCTCAAAATGCACATGTAAGAATATCTCACGTACTAAAAAAAAGCGAGTAAGACCTCGCGTTATAAGGGATGCGAGTTTTCTTCAACTTGAAAAATACTTTTCAGAGAATGCAATTTA